TGTATGGTATGGTACGTCTCAACTTATTAGCAGCCAAGTATTATCGATCTACGGAGAGATAATGAAACTTGAATTTATTAATGAAGATATTTTTCGATTGAGTTAACGTTCGACAAATTGAAACTTTCTGTCTTCTTTACTTTACCGATATTTATCTCTCGTTATTTACAAGCTCTTCAAATATTTGAATCATTATTTTGCAAATAAAATTTCCAAGGAAAAATCTGATAGTTTTAGTCACATCGATTCACAATGGACGAAAGTGAACGCTCGTTGCAGTTCTTCGAAAAGAAAATTAATCCAGAAATCATGCTTGAGAAATTGTCAAAATTTCATTCACCTTGCGAAAGCTCTATTTTCCGTCACCAGGGTCAGAAACAAACATCATTCATTCATATCCCGAATAATTATTAATCCTCCTTTGGACGTGTATAATTTTCTCTACTAAGCTCGCTTTCTAATCTCGCATCCATCTTCGAATTTACCTTCCACTTTCTCCGATGGAACGTAGTTTTTTTTTTTTTTCCATCAATCTCCCGACCAACCAAACGTGTGTGTAAACGAGTAAAACTCGATGACGAGCAACCGACCCTCATCTGTAAATGGAGGAACCGCAGAAGTGTTCGACCAGCACAGGTAGTAGCTCCGGGTCACGCAATAAAGATAATTGCAGTTTAATCCAGCCTAGGGATCCGAAGCAAGCCGAACGAAGATTATTTCTCTCTCTCGTTTAGAAAGGTTGATCAAACCGTTTCGTGCATACATACGGAAACGGACAATCTGTTGGGAGAAGGAACGAGTAAAAGTAAATGGGAGAGATAATAGAAATACGGGGAAAGAAAGGAAAATTTCCAGTGTGAGAGGAGAGAATTGGGAGCGAGATAGAGTGGAAGGTAGGGGGAGGAGGAAGGAGGAGAAACGCGGGGGAGAGAAAAGAGTGAATCCGTTGGGATCCCCCCAGCCTCCTGGCGTAATTCTGCTGGATGACAAGACGGGGGTTAGAGGACAGGTGCTACTGACGCCTTTGATCTCTTCCGCATTACACGCTGCGGAGTATCGCGCTCAAAAAAGGGAATTATCAAAATATCCTGGCTGGTTGCGCCCACTACGGCAGAAAGAACGGCGATCGATACCCGCTTAGGGTCATATCAACCGTGACGTTCTCTTTGTTCTCCTTCTCGTTCGTCGTTTCGAATCGTTCCTTTCGAATATTTCACCTGTATGTACCTGGCATGTATATTCTTGCCATATATATATATATACATTCGCGAGGCTGCGTCGCGAAATCGCGGAGGAACTCGAAAGATCTTGCTTTGCCGGTGGAAGAAATATATATATATATGTGGATGGAATGTATAAAATTTGGTAAAATTGTATAAATTTACAGTTTCGCCTTAAAGTTTTAGAATATTCAAAACGTTCTAATATAAGTAAGCGACCAAATTACAGTGAAAGAGTATCCGTTATCGGGACAGTGTGAATAACTCTGACTCATGCTCGCGCCACTTCGTTTAATTTATCTTAAAATGCGAGTATATACGTAATTTCCCCGTAGTTTTATTTGCACGTAAGATTATGAAGCGACATTTTAAAGCAAGTTTAAATTTCTCGACAAGGTAAAAATATCGTGAACGAATAAAACGTGAAACAGTTTTTACACGAAACAGTAGCAGAAAATGAAGAAGAAGAAAAGAAACGTAAAGATATCTTTCAATATCTTTTCGAAATTATTAATATTTCCTGTTCCACTCCATGTTCCATTTCTTGCAAACTGTATCATTTTCGAAAATAAATATATCTCGCGATACCAAAACGAGGAACGATTCTTCACGTTCGTTCGAACTCTTATCTTTCGAGAAGGGAAGAAGATCCTCGTGATTCTTACAAGATTTACAGTCTCATCGCCACCAGGAAGCATAAAGCGAACTTATTTATCGATTATCATTTATCATTGGCGAGATCTCGGTGTTTCTCGGTATCGAAATGGCCGAAAATAGCGGCCATTAGGCGTAACTTCGTGGCTATATATACGCGTACGTGGCAATTACGCCAAGGGCCGAAGTGTCTCGAGACGAATTATCGACACCTCGAGCTAAGATTCAACGTCTCGGGTTCCGTGGGCCGCGATGGTCGACGATAATCGGCACATGTCGTTCCCGTGGCTGGCAAAAACTAAGGTTCCCAATGGACTAGCGAAAGCTGTTGACGACAAATCGAGGGTTAAAATACTATCGGTAAATAGCGAGCGGAATGGGGTTGGATGGTAAGGGTGGCGCGTATCAGATGGCACAGGGGGGATTATAACCCTAATTTCGGGTATCCGCGTGACACTCCAGTTTAAATGAAGTAGCATGCTCGCTCCCATGGTCGGCCAATAATCAATCCTCGTTATGCATGGAAAACCCTCGTTATCGTGTCCACAACACGAGAAATTCCTTCGATTGGTCGATCGTCTCTTATAACGATGATAACGAGAATATATGGAGATAAGAAATCGTCGTGAAATTAGCATAGATTTTTTTTTTAATTTTTTATCTTAATCAGTCGTCATAATGATACAGATTGTAATAAGTGAGAAAGAGACGATGAGGATGTTATTTGCTTTTAATCTTTTTTATTCTTTTTATGAATAGAATTGTAAAATCTTTGAAATACGATATGATCCATTGATATGATTGGTGCAAGAAGATAGATAAGCTGTTGTGAAACGCGGAATTGACATATTCTTTTCTAAATTTTTCTTGTTTTTGTGTCAATAAGTGAGTAATAAGAAGTTCTTGATGATAAAAAGTTAAATATTTGATTTATATATTTCTTACTTTTACAAGATAAATAAAAAATGTTTTATTTTATCTATTATTATTATCTTCTATTATAAATCAATATTCGAATCGTTGAAATTTAAAAATCCATTTTCTCAAATCTTTCGAGCAATATATATATATATAATTTGTACAAACTTCAAACATTAAATTATTCTTTAAAATGCTGTAATTTACTTTACAATCATTTCTCCACATTTCAATTGTCTCCACGTTCCAATTTCTTCAACATCGAAGAGTAAAATTCTATGAATCAGTTCGCAATAATCTCTTCTCCAAAACTTCACGCACAAGAAATAAAAATATAATCTAGCCTAGAGCGTGCTAGCAAGGGATAAAATTTTCACGTTCGGGTGTAGGGGGCCATTTCGAAGGAATGCATCTCGCGGTTCCTCTGGAAACGGTTTGCGAGATTGCAGAAGAATTTTGGACGTTCACGAGACGTGATTTATGGAGGACCGAGGTGGAAATAACTTTAACCGCCGTGATCACGGTCATGGTGATTTTATCTAATCAGTGGCGCATTATTATCATGGATTAACGAAAGGCGCGAATTAGCTGGCACAGAAATAACTACTTCGTTGTACAGAATATTTTTTTTATCGTACTTGTCCACCTTTTATCTTTGAACAAATAATCAGAGTTGAAAAAAATCTCGAAAAATAAAACATGGATTGAATTTCGAATATATTGAATATTCAAATTTTTTATTATTATTATTATTATTGTTATTATTATTATTATTATTATTATCGTAATCTTATCCGTATTATTCAAGTTATCAAGATCTTATATCTCTATAGATTCTATATCGTGGATTATAGCTAAGATTACATAGCAAATTTTCTGAGATCATTATCACAAGTGGCATTGATTTATTTAATTAAAATGTATCGAAAGATCGCTGGTAGCTGTAATTGATTTGATAAAGCGAAACAAAAATACAAACGATGACGTTCATATTGAAGAAAATGAAGCTCCACTCCAGTTATCATTATTAATAATTAATTAAAATTCCGTTTCAATAAATGTATCAACAATATGTTTGGATTTTCTTAATATCCAAAACCATCCAAAACAAAGCTATAAAATTATTCCCTCTTTTCTATCGAGCATACGTAATATTTCTCTACCTCTTGATCGTGCATCGTATCCACGCCAAAGGCGGGGAACAATTTCTCGCCTCCATGTTTCCACCTTCCGTGACCAAGTTGGACGACAGACGCACGCTCGATCGTGGGAGAGAAAAAAATGGACGACGCGTCGGCGTTGCCTTTCGACCGAGTTTTTTTCTTACGTATCTACTCACTGCATGCCGCATAGCCCGGAAAGATAATTATAGTTTCTCGATCGACGTAAGAATTTCCGAGATTTCTGCCAGCTAGCCGCCGCGCAGGAAAGTGGTGGTAGTGGTAATATCGTTATAGGGCACGAGTGTGGGCGAGTTGGCCGCCCCTGCAGCAGGGAGAGGAGGGGGTGCTGGGGGCCAAAGTGAAGGGTTCGCCGAAGAAAGATTAGCAGACCGGCCAAGACTTTCGTGTTTCTCGGATCCACCGACCCGACGTAGATCATGATAATTGTGAGAACAATTCATCAGGTAAATTTCACGGTCCCCGGATTCGTGTACCGTGATCTATCCATCGGCCTGGATCTATTAATCACGATATTCGATTGTCGGCCAGCGTGCTCGACTTGCGTCTCAACTTTACCCTTTCGATCGATCCTCGTACGTGTCCTCGTTGCGTAACACTCCTTCTCTTTATGCGAGTATTGCGTAGATACTTCGAGGTTTTTAGAATTATTTCTAGGTAGACTAGCCAATCAGAAAATGATCGTCGTATTTTGATAATTATGAAATAATTATCTTAAATAAAGCTTGTTCTTTTCTTTTCTATATTTCATCGTTAACGAATCATATATATACATTGAATTGCAGAAAGATTTTGAAGTTGAGAAAAGAAGTGATATCCTACATATGACAAATTATGTTAAAATAATTTATTGAAAATATAAGTTTGTAATAAAAAGAACTTCATGGAAGGTACTCACCTATCGTTATACGTGAAATTACGTAATTTTCAATATCAAGAAAATTTTAGGAAATAACTGTTTGAAAGAAGAAAACACACAGTGCAAACTTCTCGTTTTAATCTGAATAATTCATAAAATGAAACTAACCATCGTTTTATAATTTATGATCTTGTGGTGGAAGAACGAATTTGTTTGTTATTCGTCGAGCAACACTCACAACAATTATTTAATATATTCGAAAACGATCTTTGAAATTTCCATAGCCAGCTTTCTCGCGTTGACGTCTTCTTCGCGTTGGATAAATGCTCAATTTGCCGTCAATTTCTACTGGTTGAAATCACTTAGCGACCATAAACGGGGAACAACTGGACGGATAATACGTGTTTCCACTAATAGCAGGTCCTTCAAACGTAAACATAGCTTCTATACGCGAGCAATTATTATGTTATTCTCGAGTAAGTATGTTGGAGTATCTGTGACTGTTTATTGATGAAGTTTCATCATCGACGTCTCAAAATCACGGCCACGATAACGATTATTATCGCTGTTATCGTCGACAGCCAATACAATAATAATAATAATAATAATAATAATCGTGAAACAAGAAATTTCAAATTTAGAGAATTTCCGATGATTTCAAATTATCGTTATCTTTTCCATTTTTAAAACAAACGATAAAAAATATTTAAACACCTTGAATTTCATTTATCTCGAGCAACGTATTAAAAACTCGAAGTTATCATCACTCGAGAGATCCATCTTTCCAAACTTAAAATTTTTCGACATTATCAATTTATACACCTTTCCCTTATTTCTCGAATAATAAACAATAACTGTACAACGAACCAGCACCAACACCTAAAATGGAGCATCATCCCCCATGAAATCCTTTCCCAAACGTTAAATTACTCGATACGACCACTAACCTTTTACCTCAAGCGATCATTTATACTGGCCTCTCTCTCTCTCTCTCTCTCTTTCTTCCGGCATTGTTACTGCGTAATAATTGCGCAAAAAGTTAAAAGTTGGAAGGGGGAGGGGAGCAACACTTTGTCGAGGTGCACAATACTTCTCTCCCGCGGTGCGAAAGGGGTACGAGTCCGCGGTCCTTCGTTGGTGGATCGTGGGAGAGGATCGGCCGCGAAAAACTCGGCCCGCCGATTTGGTCTAAATGTAACCCTAAAAGTTCGAGGCAACCGGCACAAGAATGTATAATTACGAGGCATAAAAATAACCATCGCCCACTCGAAAACACTCGTTGCGGCTGGCCAGTGTGTAACGACGACGGGTCGTCGCACCCACAACTCCAAGATTCCCATCGATCTCTGGACACCGACCGCTCTTCCTTTAGAGGATGTTCGGCAATTTTTCGACGAGTGATTACACCAGTCTGACCCCCCGATTGTAAAAATGTTTGCTTTTAAGTATAAGGCGCGGGGAGTGGACATCGGAGAAAAAGTCGAAGAAACTCTTTCGACCGTTCCTTCGTTTCGTTTCGAGCAAGTTCGAGGAAGAGAGAGCGGGGGCGGAGAGAACAGAGAAACTCTCCGAGAGCCGGCAATCTTCGAAATCGTTTAACTGCATCATGCTCGCGGCCGTGTTTTGCACCTTTTTTTTTTTACGTAGAGAAAGTAGTGGCACAGGGGGTAAGTTTTCCCAGGATTTGGCGAGGTAAGATCGTTAATTGGGAAAGAATCTGTATATAAAATTATTACGATCAGAATGATGAAGGTTTCTTTCTTCGTTATTTAAAAAATATAAATGGATAATAATACTCTGCTACGATATATATTCTTGAACTAATATATCTCCAAAAATTAGGAAGTTATTGGGCACTGCAACAAAAAAACGTAATATAAAAATTATCTTACAATCATTTTAAGAAAAATCGCTAAGATTTTTATGTATAAGTTACGAATTCGAAAAAATCTTTGCGATGTAAAATGTCACACAATTGAATTTAATTAAAAATATGTTTCACGTTTCGAAAAGAGATTATTTCATTAAGAACGTCTTCCTGATTAAGCCGGAAGCGCATCGATGGAAAGTGGAGGGAGGGAGGGAAATCGTTCGGATCACCATCTGTCATGGCGGATCGTTAACTCGGTTATAGCGCGCGCATATCAAATCGTTCATGACGTACCTTAGCACGAAATGGGCAGCGCAGTAATGCGATTTGGATATATGGAGAGTCCTCTGGGATATTACCAGCACAGAGCTTTCTCCCCTGCGATACGATACAAATGATATGCATATGTAAATACGGTGACCGAGCATTACGAATCGGCCTAGCGCCGGGAAATCTGATTTGCAAACCTTTCTACGAATATTCAGAGATGTGCACCATTGCCGCGATAGTGTACTTTTCATCATTTTCCCTTGACAGTGAAAAGTTTTTGCCAAGCAAATGTTTACTTTGTGAAACTCGACTTCAAGTTTCCTGAAACAAAAATAAAATTATATTAATAAAATAAATAAAGTTTGTTTTTAATTGGACAGGACCAATTAATGGTACAATTAAAAAATGGTGAATCTATATGCAGAAAATAAATAATGTGGAAAAAATTCTTTCCATTTGAAGCTTTATTTTCGCATAGAATTATCAATGATAATATCAATGATTCATCGAATATGGCAATAATAAATAAAATATAGATAATATTACTGTAATTGTATTATCCTTATTTTTGATTTTTATTATTGTCTATTTGTATCTTGAAGAATAAAAAATAAAAAATAAAAAAATATTATTATATTTATATACTTACAATTTATATTGTACTTAGAGTTTTAATAGATAAGATTCAAAGTAATGGAAAACAAAAAAAAAAATAAATAAAAATAAAAGACAAATTATAAATATAACTTTATAAATATAAATTTTTAATTACAGATTCACGTTCTTTCATTGCATCATTAATTTAGTCTATCCAAATGTTTTCAAATCCTTCTCAAATCTTTGGAAAATAAACTTCTTTGCGTCGCTCTATAAAAACAATATCTCGATTAAGTAAGAGAAGAAAAGGATCTCCTAGAGGGGAAAAATACTAAGTTTCCTCTGGATTGATCCAGTGACCTCGAAACAACAGTCAAAGAGAAAGGTCCAAGGGAGTTTAGTTTTATCTCACGGACTTTTGCTCTATCAGCGGCGTTCGGATGATCCTGTTAACAGGATCAAGGCTCATGGCGCAGACGAAGGGTTCTTGTTATTCGCAATCGCCTTCTCTGATCCTTAGGGACGCGAAATCCTCCCTCCTGATGAATGCTCAGAGAATTACCAAGAAAGCTAGGATATGTTCATTTGCAGAGTACACAAGGTACGAAATTACTCATCACCGTCATTCTTATTAAAATTTCGTTAATAAAATTAAATTACATACTCATGAGCAATCATGTAGATGATTTTTTTTTTATTTTTTTCATCAAAGTCGATGAGGACGATCAAAATTGTTGATTCATATATTTTATTTATGAATTTTGCAAATTTTTGAGATTATTAATAATTATGAATGATATTCCATATTAACATTCACTTTGTTTATTTGTTATCCATCGAAATTAACTTTTTTGCACTACAATTTTGATACTGAAATATCGATTCGATTATCTGAAACATATTGCGTAAAAAAAAATTTTTTTAGATCTAGATTATCTCAAAGCCACTTCTCGAGTTAATATTAATAAAAACGGTAACCAGAATTAAAATACGAGATTGATCAAGAACGATATCTAACTTCAATATTGTAATTTCAACGAAACAACGAAACAACCGTCTTGAATATCTTTCTCGTAATAATACGCGTTATATATATATATATATATAGATATATATACCTGTAAGACATCGCAGACTTTTAGCCCTCGTCCCAAAGTACCAACCCTCAGCCCTTCCCGCCGTACTAATGATTTGCAAACATCGTCCCTCCTCTCGTTTCGCTCATTACAAAGTTTTTGCTTGGCGTGTTGCGCACGAACAAGACAACCATCTTCCAGAAGTTTGGAAAGAATTATAAGATAAAATTGGAGAATCTCGGTTTTTCTTTCAATTTTCATTCCTTGGATAAGAAAACATCGACGATTGTAGTTAATAATTTTTTTTTTTTTAATTTAAAAACGAAATAATAAACGTAAAAAGTATCTCGTATGATCATTTCCTTTACTTTTTGTTACTTTTCGTTCATTTTTATGATTACTTATACAAACGAAACTCTATATTCGTCATTAGTCCTGAAGAATTGGACGAATATAGAGATTTTCAATAAGAATTAACGAAAAATGGAATAATCGATTCTCAGCCTCGAATCGAAGATCAAATAAATAAGATTTTAAATAGAAATTTAATTTTTGATGATGATTGCGTATCATGCAGTAAGAAATTTTTTTTAACGACGAATATTAGATTTGATAAACGAATATAGAGATTTATTTAAACGAAAAAAATATTTAGAAATCATATTCAGGAATTCTTTTTTTATCAAGGGTAACGTCAATTAAATTTCTATTTTATGTGCTGTTCGAGTGTCTGTTAATATCTAAATTAAACAATTGATAGGATGTACGTACAATTGATAAAAGGCAATAATTAAAAGATTAAAGATATATCGGTTGAAATTCAATTGATTGATACGTTATATTATCAATTGAAATTTTCTCAATATCTATTGAAGAAATATCAATCGAATTCCGATATATGCGATTATATATCCGTTTTATTAAATTAATTGTTTCCCCTTTTTGATATAGTAGGAAAAAGAATGGAAAAAAGAGAGTATTAATCTATAATACTGATAAAACATATACGATAATGATTGTCTTTATCAAATCATCATTATTACTCAAAGTTATTGAAATTTTTTCAAACGTCATTCACTCTAATTGCGTTTATATACGGTCATTGATAAGAATCTAATTTTGTTTATCCTTATCGATATGATATACCCTCTCAGAGTGTATAAAGCGACTGAATCAATATACTTTTTGTTATTATGGTTTTTACCAACATGAATGCTCTAAGTGTGGTACTTGTATTCTGCCTTGCAGTCACTGCATATGGTAAGTAAGCATTGAATTTAAATCACGTATTCTATTTTATATACTTGTATCCTTTTCTTTAAATATACGTAGAATTCTTTGTATTTATTAAATAAATCAAAGTTAACCGATTTAACCGATTGACAAATAGTGTTTAATTAATAATATAAATAAAAATCAATGAAAAGTGAATAAAAGTTCGTGCAATTGAATCTCTTAGAAATTTGAATAATTTGTTTTTTACTGACACTAAATGAGATTTTTATCTTGATTGATTTTTACTTTCTCGAAACTTTGTCACGTGATTAAATAAAATTTTACGCATGGAGTTCACGTGAAATTTTAAGAAACTATACTATAATTTTATTGGAATAGGCTTCCCTGAAAGTAAAATTGTTGGTGGAAAAGATGCTCCAGTTGGTAAGTTCCCCTACCAAGTATCTCTGAGGAAGAATAAAAATCATTTTTGCGGTGGATCCATCATCGATTCGCGTACCATTCTCACAGCAGCACATTGTGTTGAGGGGTAAGTTTCACTGAAACACAATATAATAACGAATAATAAATTTCTATTATAAATTTATTATTATCCTTAAATAGAATTTTACTTAACTCGAATAAAATTAGAATCTCTCGCTGATAAATGCTAATAAATGCTGATAAATCAATGAAACACATTTGTTCTACAGATTGAGTAATTTGAATGGTATCACTGTCCAAGCTGGAACAAATCAACTCAACTCAGGTGGAGTATCTTACTTGCCGCAGAAAGTGGTTGCCCATAGCGGTTTCAACTCGCTCAGTCTCGTTAACGACATTGCTTTGATTCGTCTGAATCAAGATATCTCATTCAACAATTTGATCCAACCGATCAAATTGGCTTCGGGTAGCAATACTTATGAAGGATCATCCTGCATCCTGTCCGGTTGGGGAACTACTAGAGTAAGTGAAAAGATTATTAGTTATTTATTTTGTAAGGATTAACATTTTTATTTCTATTCTATTATTCTATTATTAATTCGTTATTTTAATCGTTTAATCATATGAAACTCGTATAAAAATATCGTTCAACATATATTCCAATTACAGCTAAATGGAAATGTGCCAAATAATTTGCAATACATTAACCTGCTTATCGAGAAACAATCAGAATGCAAGAAAATTCACTGGAGAGTACAATCTTCTCATATCTGCACATTCACGAAATACGGAGAAGGTGCTTGCCACGTGAGTATAATTATTACGTTTTATGTACATATATTTTTTTTACAATATATATATATATATATATATATATATATATATATATATAGTTTTTCTATTATTAATATTAAATTAAATTATATACCATAAATTATATATTTTTCATTCTGAGACTCCATTCATTCTTCTTATTTCAATTTTTATAATTGAAGTCAAGTTAAAGCTTCAAAAATTATTAGAAAAACACTTAGCTTTATAGATGATATAATATAATAGAGCTCTTATTGAATATTCGATTATTTATAATTCAAACTTCGGTTCGAGCTTTTGATTTATAATTATTTTTTTTCTTTCAAATTTCAGGGTGATTCTGGTGGTCCTCTCGTTGTCAATAATGTACAAGTCGGTATCGTTTCCTTTGGACAACCTTGTGCTGTAGGAACACCTGACGTATACACAAGAGTATCTTCTTTCGCATCATGGATCCAACAACATAAATCTTTTCTCACAGAGGAAAAGGGTGAAGCACCAGCAGACGGTTTCTACATTTCTTAAATATAATTTATCGATCATTGATAATTGAAAGTTGATCAAAAAATCATCTTCCATTATCAATTATTGTATATAATAAAAATTGTATATAATTAAATGTCATTAATTTTGTGATATACAATAAAATATAATTATTTTTTTTTAATATTTTATAAAATAAAATTAATTCTGCTCAATAAAGTTTTTAATGTATTAATTATATTATTTTTTATATGTATATAATAAGGAATATTCATCTATAAATATTATTAATATAATTATTAATATTATAATATAATTAGATATTCTCAAATATTGTTATTCAAAAAAAGATAGAAAAAGAAGATAAGTAATAGAAATGAATTATTATTTAAATATGATAATTTTATATGAATAGAACTTATATATATATTTTTTTATAAAGTTGGTATTTGAGAACAATCTAATTATACCGCGTATTCTTCATAGTAGTGACATCTATCAATGGCATAAAGAATTATTCGATCTGTTTCTATACTTTATATCATTCAATTATATTAAAAATCAATTTACACACGATTAATATTATAAATAGATTAAATTACCAAATTATAAGAAGAATTTATGATTAAATTTAGGACAGATCATATAATCCCTGTTATGATTTTTATAATATATATGATATTATTGATTCAGAAAAGAATGAAATAGTAATATTATGTATCTGCATTATTATTCTTATTTCATAAGCAATATTATCCATATTTAATATTATTCTAAAAGTACTTATAAATAATCTTATTTATTTAATTATATTTTATCATATAACATTTTTCTATGAATCACCAGTTACATATACTTCTATTTAAAATAATCCATCTAATTAAATTAACCTTAATTTTACCTATAATAATACTTATAATAATTATAAATAAGTATTATATTTCATATGGATAAAGAAAATGCGAAAAAAGAAGCCTAACTTCAGATACCTAACTTTGACTAGAATAAAAAAATACGTACTTACTTATTAAAAAATAAAAACTTCATTATTTAAAACGAACGAGTTTAGAAATGACAGCACTACTTTGAAAGAAACAAGGAGAGCAAATAATGAAAGAAGGATAGAGATAGAGTAAAAATAATGCAATCAACGCCATCTTCAGAGCCGCAAATGAAACACAAGAAAAAGGATAGTAAATAATAAGTAAAGGATAGAGATAGAATAAAAATACTGCAATCAGCGCCATCTTCAGAGTGCCGCAAATGAAACACAAAAAAAAAGGATAGCAAATAATAAGTAAAGGATAGAGATAGATATAAAGGTACTTGTGGCGCCATCTATTGAGTATTAAAGATATTATTTTACAAACAAGATAAAGTAGAGTAAGAATTTTATATCAGCGCCATCTCTTGAATATTTTAGAAAACTATTTTTGCTTTTAGAGATGGCGCTGATATTAAATTCTTATTCTACCTTATCCTCATTTCAAAGTAATATTTCTAATACTCAAGAGATGGCGCCACAAGTACGTTTATACCTATCTCTATCCTTTACTTATTATTTTCTATCCTTTCTTTTTGTGTTTCATTTGCGGCACTCTGAAGATGGCGCTGATTGCAGTATTTTTATTCTATCTCTATCCTTTACTTATTATTTACTATCCTTTTTTTTGTGTTTCATTTGCGGCTCTGAAGATGGCGCTGGTTGTAGTATTTTTACTCTATTTCTATCCTTGTCTCACTATTTACTTTCCTTGTCTTTATCGATGCTAATAGCTAGTTTTTAAAGAAATCGAAACTTTTTTAGAAATTAAAAAGAATTAAAATATTCATAACTGTGTATTTTGCTTCTATTGTACAGGATAACTTATTTCTAAAATACTCAGGTATTTATTCATTTGTTAATAAGGTAAATAGTTTATTAATAAGGAGCACTTTAATTTTTTTCATAAATGTAACCAAAAATATTATACGTATAATACGTATTATACGTAATACAATTTATAATTTATTTTAATGCAATAATATAACCTTTTGCAAAATTATTTAATGACATATGTAATGATAATCAAATCAAATATATAATAATAATATTTCTAACAGTCAATGATATACAAAATAGAAAAATTATAAATATCCATAAACTATTTCAATCAATTACAATTTTTTTTGTGTTCAAATAATTATTTACATACACATAATGTGTTAAAATTGAGATATTCAGTGATCTATAATTAACTATAGATATATCATTAACTACAGATTCCTTGATTTAAAGTTTAGGGCAGTTGATCAATAATTTTATGAAACATTATGAATATATTTCTAAATTATAAATTTGACAAAATTTTTATATTTATAAAATTCTTTTTAATATTTATTAAGATATGTTAATTTATACAATATGGTATATTCAGACTTATTTATTCATTAAAAAGTTACTTTCAATTGTATATTTAATTGTATATTAAGGAATATTTATAATTTGTGTATTATGAATAGATATGGATACTTAAATATTTATTATTGTGCTAATGAAAATTAATATGACATGTATGTAAGAAAACTTTGTTACTTAATAAAAAAAAAACATGAAAAATTCTATGATCATTTTTATGATTGAAAGATCAATATGTAAATATTAAAGTTATGAAAAACTATGTATGAATATATCATTTAAAAAATTCCTTTATACAAACAACACAATAGATTTTGTATTTCATATAATCCTTGGTATTAAGCAATATCAAGATATTTATTGAAAATATCAAAGTAAATATAAAATGGGACATATATTTACAATTTCTTAGGGATTTTATTTTTTTGATTTATATCAGAATATATGTTGAACTATTGTTGAAAACTTTCTTTTTCAAATGTTAGATCACTAATTCATTATTCTTGAAGTATCTATGCTGGAAGACTAGATTAAAGATGTCTACAAAATTTAACAATAAATTCTATCAAATTTATTTATTTCATTTAAATAAAATCAAGTTGTGATTAGC